GACAATTTGGGCATGGCATGTTCCACAAACAGCCACGAAAAGAATGAACAGTTTTATTTGTTGGGAGAAACTCATTTCTCTTTTTGCCATGGGATCTTTAACATGAATTTGAACAGGCAGACAAGACCTCGGTTTAATGTTCCATCCAAGGAACAGCACCTCCGACAAATATGTTCCCCTGGTACTGTATTGGAGTGTCATCTTAGATTATGTGACTTCAAAGTCATCATTAATAACAATAATCCTTGTATTTGATATAGCGCCTTATCACGTCGTTGAGATGTCTCAAAGCACCTCACAGAATATACTCTAAAATGAATTGACTGTGTATTTTGTGGGCAAAATGCAGCAGCCAATTATGTACAGCAGTGTCCCACAAACAGTCGTGGATTGAGTGACCAATTTATTATTATTATTTTTTGAAATGATTATTACTCCAGGAAAAGCGATCCGCCAATCGACTATCAACTGGGTTCCGACTTACTGCTAGGTGTTAGAGTACCGGATTCGTTAAACAGAGGCGTGTGAGTAAGGAAACTTGCCCAATGTTTCGTGCTGCCGGGAATCGAACCCAGATCTCTCGCTTGTGAGACGAGTGCTCTAACCACTAAGCTGCAGGAATCCACAATGTGGGGCTTAAGCCCACAACCTCCTGAATCAGAGATGAGACTGCTACCAACTGAGCCAGAGCGACACCTTAATCCAAGTCAAATCAACCTTTTCTATGTTTTCTTTTTCCTGTCACCAATTTACTCTCCTCCTCTCCCTCCGACAGCTTTCCTCAGCAAAGTGACCATTATGCACTTTCTCGCTCTCATATCCTCTCTCTCATATCCTCGCTCTCATATCCTCTCTCTCATATCCTCTCCCTCATATCCTCTGCAGCAGTTGCCATTAGCTGAGCACTTACGGTGAAGGATTCCTGCTTGAAGTGCAAAGGGGCCCGAGGCCAATTCACAATCACGTGCCTCGATCTCAATCGCAGTCTGGGCCCTCGGCTGTCTGCCACAGCAAACTTGCCTTATTATTAAAGCTCCTCCCAAGGCCCCCCCAGCTCCTCCCATCCCCCCAAAACTTATTTAATTTGTGAACCTAGCTCCAAAGTGCTTCATTCCATATAGAGTGATTAGCTGTTGGAGCAGGGCTGATTGGTGGGGGGTTTGGTAATGGTGGTAACTTAACAAGGAATTAGATCAGCACATGCTGAAATATAGTATTAGAGGATACGAGGCAAGAGCAGGCAATAATAATAATAATCCTTGTAGTTGATATACGGTTTTATCACGTCACTGAGACATTTCACAGAATATACTACAAAATGGATCAAGTCTGTATTTTATGGACAAAAAATGGCAGGCAATTACGTACAACAGTGTCCCACAAGCAATCTTGGATTGAGTGATTAAATGTATTTTTAAAAAACTTGGAAGGTATTATTACCCCCAGAAAGCAAGATTTAATCTTTTAATGTAGCACTTCAGGGCATCTAAACTTGACGACTTCTTAAAGATAGTCTTAACTCAGTGACTGGAATTGTGGGAGTTTCTTTTTAAAAATTTCGTAAAGCGTATCTCAATGGTCGATAATTTGCCAAATTCTGGGTAAATCCGGCCCCAGGTTCAGGACGGCACCTCCAACAACTCAGCACTCAACAACAACTTGCATTTATATAGTGCCCTTCACGCGGGGGTAGCTTCCTGGAAGGCTTCACAGTAAAGGAGTCCGACACTGAGCCAGGGGAAGAGGGAGGGGGGCAAGTGACCATATGCATGATTTTTAGGCGGTTTTGAAAGTGGTAAGGGAGGGGGCCAAGGCGGAGGGATTGAGGGAGAGAGTTCCAGAATTTCGGGGGATAGTGACCGAAGGCTGTGCAGCTATGATAGAGCGGAGGTGACAAGGGATGGAGAGGAGGCCAGAGCCGGCTGAGCGAGGCAACGGGTGGGGGGTGTAAGCAAATTGGATAGGTAGGGAGGTGCACAGGCATGAAGGGATTTGAATACAAGTGAGAGGATCTTAAAATCGATCCGTTCGGTAATTGGGAGCCAGTGGTGCCTTCCGCATCCCCACCCCCACCACCCCACCCCTGAGCAATGCATCAGAACATCAACCTAGACTGTGTGATTTCAAAGTCCTGATGTGGGGCTTGAACCCACAATCTACTGACTCAGAGGGAAAGGGGCTACAACTCAGTCTGGTTACCCAAGGGTTTGGCCTTTCTCCACGTTTGTTCTTAAATGGTTTCAGGGAACATTTTTTAACCGTGTTCAGAAATTTAACCCTTCCCAATATTTCTCTTGAACAACCCAGAAGGAAATGCTAAAGGACCACAACCCTGAGGTAAAGACAACAACAACAACAACTTGAACTTATATAGCGCCCTCCCTGCAGGGTAGCATCTCAGAGCGCTTAACAGTGGCGGAGCTTGACTCCGAGCCTGGGGGAGAGGGGAAAGAAGTGGCCATAAGCACATTGGAAGAGGAAGGTTTCCAGGCGGGACTTGAAAAAGGGGAGAGAAGAGTTAAGGTGGAGGGATTGGAGGAGAGTGTTCCAGAGTTTTGGGATATAGTGGCTGAAAGCGCGACCTCCAGTGGTGGGTCGGAGGGATGAGCAGGAGGCCGGTGCCAGTTGAGCGGAGGCGCCGGGTGATGGATTGGGGAGTGCGGAGGTCAGAGGAAAGGAGGTGCCAGAGAGTGAAGAGATTTGAACACGAGTGTGAGGATCTTGAAGTTGATCTGTTCAGTGATGGCCCGACCACTGATGATGGAGCACGCAGAGCGGGGGACATGGAGCAGGTTGGAGTCTTCCGAGCAGAGACAGCAGACTGGCTGGTATGGGGTTAACAGGTCCCAGAAGTAGGGAGGAGCAAGGCCATGGATGGCTTTGAAAACGCTTTAATGTGATCTTTAACATCCACTTGAACAGGCACTGACGGTTTTCAATGTCTTATCCGAAGGACAGCACCTCCGACCATTGCAACAATTTCCCCAGCACTGCGTTGGAGGATTAGGAGGCTAGGAAGGCTAGAAACAACAAGCCAAAAGAGAAAGTAAAGGTACCTACCTCATTCTCTCAGCAAATTCCACATTAATCTTGCGTGTGTTCCCTTAAGGAACACAACATGTGAACTCTCCCTTTGCTCTTTAAAGAGTTCAAAATGTTCCCACTTTTCATTGGTTGACCCAAGCCCTTTTTAGAGAGAATTGGTTCAGAATGAAGGTAATTTAAAACCCTAAAGAGAAAGTATCCCTGAACATTTACAAAAATTCATATCGCACCCCAGGAGAACCAAAAGAGAATAAAAGAACAGAGTTCATAAGGTTGTTATTCTATCTACCCATCCAAGTGAGTTATGGAATGTTTTGGTCAAATGCATTCCTTAGCAGCAGAAACAGCTGCAAACCTCTTTCTACCCCTTTCCCCTTCTTCCTCTCCTCGCCCCCCCACCCCCCCAACCCCCCCCCCACCCGCATCCTAAACCAGAATTATTTGACTTCAGTTCTCTGTCTTGTCTGTTCATTCGGTACCAAACAATACCTAGGTAGCGTTCAAATTTATGGCACTGCTGTTTGTGGGGATCTTAATAATAATAATCCTCGTGTTCGACATAGCACCTTAGTACATCATTGAGATGTCTAAAAGAGCTTCACAGAATATACTGTAAATTGAATTGACTGTATATTTTGTGGGTGAAACACAGCAGTCAATTGTGCACAGCAGTGTCCCACAAATAGTCGTGGATTTAGTTATTATTATTATTTTTTGAGGGGTATTATTACCCCTATAGAGTGATCCGCCAATGGACTAACGACTGCGTTCCTACTTACTGCTCGGTAAACAGAGGCGTGTGGAGCAAGGAAACTTGCCTAAGGTTTCACCCCGGAAATCAAACCCAGGTTCTCTCGCTTGCAAGGCAAGCGGCTAACTACTCCAATACGGGACTCCACAAATTAAACCTAGATCAATCTTTAGGATGTACCAAGACAGTAGAACAAGATGACACAGGTTTAGATTCACAAAGAGCTATTTCAGGCAGACACCAGGAGATTTTTCTATCCCGAGAGGAATTAATGACTGGGGCAGGTTATCAGGATGAGTGGTTGATGCGAGTACACTGGACTTGATGCTGTGATGGAGCAGTAGAGTGAGTATTTTAGAAGGATGAGATCAGATGGGCCAAAGGATCTTCTTCATCCAACCGAAGCTGTGATCTTGTCAAGACAAAATGATCTTATAGGCAAAGACTATGTGGAATTTGGGGCCTAAATTTCATAGCTAATATGGGATCAGTGCAGTATGATCACCTGGGATCAATGCAATGTGATCACTCGGGATCCAGCTAAGCACACATTTTATTGATCAAAAGTAACATGCAACAAGCTTGAATTATAGGACAAACAAGTGACTCATGGTACATCTGAAAAACTCAACTTTACTGTTCAAAAATGATACATGAAATACAATAGAAAGCAAATAATTGACACTGGCACGATGTATTGTTACACAAACCAATTTCAGCAAAATACATGATATTTGGATTGTTCGTAAGGTACAGTTACTCACCGACAAAAGAGGGAAGAAGAACACGTTTGAGAATCACATAAAAAGTATTCAACTTGAGGGAGGAGATGGGAGAGATGGGGGGGCGGTGTGACGGGAGTGGTGAGTTTTGTATGTAGATGCTATGTTGACTGACTAGATGGGGTGGGGGGGAGAGGGAGGGAGAGAACACACATGGCTATTTGGGATGAATAACAACAATCCTGGCTTTGATGCCTGTAATTTATTTTTAATAGATTAAGACATCGTTTTACAAAGAATAACTGACACCAGGATTAATGCTGACATGTAAATCCGCATCCAAGACAGTGCAGATTTCAGAGAAAACCAGAAGAGGAAGTGAAGCTTTATTATTGCTATTATTATGATTTTAATAAATATTATAACAATAATCCTTGCATTTGATACAGCACTTTTCATGTCGGGAGGACGCCTCAAAGTGCTCCACAGGATTCACTGTGAAGTGAAGTGTATTTTGTAGGCGAAAGCCTATGTTATAATAGCGACAGCTTGCATTGACATGGCGCCCTCTTGTTGAATAATGCCTTGAAGCGCTTCGCAGTGGGTGGGCATGTGGGGGAGGATGGGGTGAGGGGGAAAGGAGAGGTGACTTGAAAAGGTAAGTTTTAAGGCAAGACTGGGACAGGTAGAGAGCGAACAAGACGGAGGAACCAAGGTAGGGAGTTCCGGAGCTCAGGGCTGTAGAATTGGGGCGATGGTGACATGGAGAGAGTGAGCAAGCCCGAGGTAGCTGAGCAAAAGGGGTCGGAGGAGATAGAGAGATGGGGTGATGTGAAGAACGTGAAAGGATTTGCAGGTGAGGCTGAGATCTGGGATTCACTGAGAGATCGAAGCCAATGGAACCTGGCAAGGACTAGGGCCGTGGATGTGAGGATAAGGATGGGGATACGGGCAGCAGAGTTTTGGATGAGCTGATATCTATAAATGGTACAGCAAGGGAGATCAGCGAAGAGTGCTTCAGAAAGGTTCAGGCGGGAGGTAAAAATGAAGACATAATAAAAGGGGCTCAGTGGCATGTGGAATGAGGTAGGGAGTGACATGGCTGAGGTGAAGGAAAGTAGTCTTGGTCAGAGAACTGGTATGAGGGAGAAAGAAGAGTTGAGGATCCAACCGGATAAACCAAACTGGAACCAGAAATAAATAGAATAATTTTTGATCTGATTAAATCCTTCTTGGGTACAATGGGAAGCAACGCTATGAGAAGGTACACGCAGAGATATCCAAGGCAACAGTTCCTTCCAAACCTCATCAACTTATAGAAAAGAGGATATTTAGAAACTGCAGATAGATTTCCCTTCTGACACCATAAGTTTGTGAAGAAATCGTTGGTTTGGATGCCCTTTTTTGCAGATAGCCAGAAACAAGTTTGGGGAACTTTTCAACATGGGGTTTTCAATCTAGCACTGGAGTTAAAGCAGTCTATCCTTGCCTGGGAGGCAAAGACCTAACTATTGGATGTGGCTACATCTGCTATATTCTGGCCAAGTCTTNAAAAAATTTGGCAACGTTGGTTCCGATGTCAATCTTCCGTTGTTGTGGAAATCCCTGCGGTGCGGATTTTTTGAATACCCCCAATGGCTACTTAAGATGTGATCCCAACAGCATAAAAGGGGAACTGAATAAAGATTTGAAGCGGGAACATTGTAAAAGGCTTCAGGGAAAGAGCAATGAATTTGGAATTAGCTCCAGTGGGTGAACGAGCACCAGTTTGGGCTCAGTTCCTTGGGATGAATGGTCTCCTTCCACACTGCGATCTCTGTGACTCTAGGAACACACTGTACGTGTGTTTCATTTGGAAAAGGGCACTGCACAAATTTCCCTTTGGGAACCACATTATACAAAACTGGGTTGGGATAAGTAGAGGCACTGTAAAATCATACCACATAAAGCTTTAGGGTAAAGTATTGAGTAACTTGATTTGGATCAGACAGATAATTTGCTTAGCGGATTCTGTGTACTGATATTGATTAAAGTGTGGATTCGGATTAAGGTGTGAATTCAAACAAGTTTTGAGACAATTACATTTATACGTAAAGAACCCTGAAAATCAAACAAATACTTATACATTTAACATGATGCCATCAGATGACCATTTTCTAACAAGTGAGTTCTTAAGCAGTTTTTTTACACAAAAAGGATCATTTTTTATCTAACTTCTTACAACATCTAACGCTAACACTTAACCACTTGTACCGTTAAATAAGTGACTTCGAGCAATTACGTACGATAAAGCGTTAAATTATTTTACAGAAAGAGGCGTGTGTGGACGAACTGAGCCTTCTGCAAAAAACTAAATCTATTGGTGATTATTATTAAGTGATTAGACAAATACATGACTCCTCTCGCTCGCTCCCTGTACAGCCAAGTTGCAGTTAGTCGGAAACTTCCGTGCTGTCAAAGGGTAATGTAGGCTGGAACGAACGCACGTGGAGGATTAAAACTGTAGTACCTTTACATTCCTTTCATCTGCTTTGAAAAAGAAGATGGTCAAACCAAGCAACGCTTAAATGGAAGGCTTGAACAATGAAACTCCTCAAAGTTTCAAAGCTTCCCACATAGCATACAAATACGTCATCTCCCAGTAAAAAAAAGTCAATGCAGTCCATTCTCAGGCGGGTAGAGAGAGCACAGTGTTTGTCGCAGGTTGTGACTGTCCATCATCTGACAACCGGCCGTTAAAGTACAAAAACATTCTTTAAAACACTAGTGATAAAATTGCAGGTCAAAAAATCTGCGCACTCAGAAAAATTTCACAGTACTGATGCCAACAGTGAACCTGCCGTTCAATTAGCGCCCAATCTCACTTACGCGGATGCAGGGTGTTTTGTTATTATTTTTGTTTGGTGGGGGTGAGGGGAGTGGGGGCGTGTGTGTGTGAGGGATGGGGAGGGGAAGGAGTTGGTTGGAGGAAGCAGAGCATTGGTAGTTATCAGTTCAGGTAAATCACAGAGTCTTTGGCATGACAATTTAGCTGTATGTTGTTGGCGTTTCACATTCGATTCTCTTTATGATGGATATATATATTTTTTTTATCCCCTTGCGGAAACGTCCGACATGAGATTAAACGGTAACCATTTAGCCCATCGGAAAGAATACATCTACGTGATGGCATGATGCTGCAGAGATCCTTGGTTTGCTTTGTTTTCCTTCAATTCACTTTATTTGAGTGCGAGTTTGTGTGTGTAAGTGTGTGTGCGTGCATGGGTGTGTGTCCATTAAATTTCACAGGGATCAGAGCTCCAGGTTCCTGTGGATTTTCACCCTTCAGCATTTTGCAGGGCAGATTCCTTGCATCCACATTCCACACGTGCAAAATACAAAGCGTGGATTCCTCACAATTTGTTTTCTCTCTAGAATGGGAAAGGCAAAAACAATAATGGGTTAAAGGAAAGAAACAAAGAGAGAGAGTGACAGACAGACAGACAGACAGACAGAGGGAGAAAGTATTTGAAGGCACATTTCAACATTTGTTTGCTCTTAGCCTGGCTCAGTTGGTAGCACTTTCGCCTCTGAGGGCAGAAGGTTGTGGGCTCAAGCCGCATGACTTTGAACTCATGGTCTAGGTTGACACTGGGGGTTGCTGCATTGTTTGAGATGCTACTCTTCGGGTGAGATGTTAAACTGAGGTCCTGTCTGCCTGTTCAAGTGGATGTTAAAGATGGTATTACTAGAAAAGAGATGGGAGTTTCTCCCAGTGTCCTGGACAACAAACCCTCAGCTAAAATTCATGCCTGTTTGTGGGATCTTGCTGTGTACAAATAAGCTGCTGCATTCACTTACAAATTGCACAGTCACTAAACTTTGCAACAAATCCTGCGAAAAGCTTTGAGACCTCGTTGTAAAAGGGTCATATCAAGGATTATTATTATTATTTTTAAAACTGCTCTTTGAGAATTCTTTCATAGGGGATATTGCTTATCAAGGAATTTATTTAAATAATCATAAATAATAATCAGAATCATTGCATTTGTTCCAACACCTTTCACATCAGGAGGATGTCTCAAATCACAGAAGTTAGTGTAGTAATGTAAAATGCAGTGACCAATTTTATCTGGAGGATTATTGGCCAGACACTGGATGAAACTTCCTTCTCTTTTTGAATAGGATATTGTATTATATCTATATCTAATATATATTATTTTATGTAATATATATCTTTATATATAATAGAATAGGATCAATAATGTCCACCTGAACAGGGACCTCAGTTTAATGTGTCATCTGAAGGGCGACATCTCTGACAATGCAGTGCTTTCCCCATTGGAGTGTAGCCCAGACTATCAGCAAAGTCATGAGGTGGGGCTTGAACGAGAGGCGAGAGTGCCGTCAACTGAGTCTGGTTAACACACCATCAAACCACTAGTTAAGACGCAGCAGAAATCAAGCGGAGAGTGCTATAAATGCTATTGATAAGGAATCAACATCACCGTACAAGAAAAAAAAGACTGCACAAGAAAGCTAAGTTTTTTCACAAAGCAAATACTACAACAACAACAGAATTACATTTGTATAGCGCCTTTCACATCAGGAGGACATCCCAAAGCGCTGGACAGACAGAGTTATGGACCTGAGCTGAGGGTCGGGCTGGGGGAGGGCAGGGGGGAAGTAGGGAGATCGAAAGCACGATCGAAGCAGAGGGTCTTGAGATGGGTCTTGAAGGTGGCGAGGGAGGGGGCGAGACGGAGTGCGGGATAGAGTTCCAGAGGGTGGGGGCAGAGTGGCAGAAGGCCTACCCACCGATAGTGAGGCGAGACAGGCGGAGGACGTGAAGCAGGCCGGAGCCCGCTGAGCGGAGGGAGCGAACAGCGTGATAGGGGATTAGGAGGTCGGAGAGGTAGGGAGGAGCAAGACCGTGGAGGGTTTTAAAGGCGAGGATCAGGATTTTGAACTGCATCCTCTGTGTGATGGGAAGCCAGTGGAGTTGGGCAAGGATGGAGGTGATAGGGTACAGTAGAATTCCTGCACGAATTGGCTGCCTAACTTGCCCACAAGTTCACAGTCACTGAACTACAAAAATGTGAAGCACTTTGACACATTTTGAACATCACCAGTGCTACACTGACTGCGAGGATTATTGTTATCAGTGTAACGTAATTTTACATGGTCAGTGAGTCAGTGACCAGAGGCCATTGATTTAAGATAGTTAATAAATGAGCAAATGAGGTTAGGAGAATTGTTTTCACGCATTGAGTGGTTAGGACTCCCTGCTCTGCCAGGAGCAGTGGTTGAGGCAGAATCCAAATTGGCTTTCAAAAAGGAGTTGGATAAATAATAATAATGCTTGCATTTGATATAGCACCTTATCACATCATTGAGACATCTCAAGTGTTTTACAGAATATATTTTAAAATGGATTGACTATGTATTTTGTAGGCGAAATATGGCAGCCAGTTGCACTCAGCAGTGTCCAGCAACCAGCCATTAAGTGAATGACCAATTTTATTTGGGGGAATACAAGGGACCTCCAAAGAATTTGCTGATGCAATAGTGGGTAGAAATTCCACCTTGGATCACAAGATCGATTCAGATGAAAATGGCCCTTTGACCCATCTGATCTCATCCTTCCAGAACACCCACCCTCCCATCCTCCCATCACAGCATCAAGCTGCTTTTTAGAAATCCCACCTTTCCTAGTAACCTGCTCCAGTCTGTAAATTATCCTCGGAGTAAAGAAAAAACTTTCTGGTATCTGACCTCAAATTGGTTTTAACCACTCCAAATCTGTGTCCTCCTGATAATAATAATCATAATAATAATCATAATAATCCATGCATTTGAATATCATGTGGTTGAGCCAAATCAAAGAGCTTCACGGAACATATTGTAAAGTGGATTGACTGTATTTTTGTGGGCGAAAGACGGCAGCCAATTGGACACAGCAGTGTCCAACAGAGAGTCATGGATTGAGTGATCACCTTTTTTTTGTTGAAGCGATCCGCCAATCGACTACCAACTGGATTCCTACTTACTGCTGGGTAAACAGAGGTGTGTGGAGTAAGAAAACTTGCCTAAGGTTTAGCCCCACCCAATAATTCAACCTGGGTCCTCTCCCTTATGAGGGGAGTGCTATGGAACTAGCATCTACTGATCTACTATCTTTGTCAATTCTAAAGGATTGTTCTGGATTTTGAATCCCATTTAAAATTTTATGCACCTTCATGAGGCCCACGTGAGACTACACTATTAATGTTCATCTCAGAGTGTCCAGAATTTGGCAGATAGTTCAATTCAGCCACAGTTTGAAGTCATTTTTCTACGGTTTTGTGAAAGAAGCGTAAAAGGAACTGAATGCAAAAATTAACGCTGTGTTCAAGAATTCACCAAATTCTGGACCCACTGTTAGATATAAATCTAGACCCAAGTGGAATTTCTCCCCCATAGATAGGTGTGTGGAGGCTTTTTAAGTTCTCAATCTAGTTTGATAGAGAAGTCTTTCAAGGCTTCCTCTCTTCCTTTTTCAAGTCACAACTCAAAACATATCTCTTGATGGCGCTTTTGGTAATCTTTCTCTCCCCACCTCCTTTTGAATTAACAGTCAATTCATTTTACAGTATATTCGGTGAAGAGCTTTGAGACGTCGCGAATGCAAGGATTATTATTATTATTGTTGGCTCCCACCCTGAGCTCGGATGCCCATGCAGCACTGTGAGTGAGATATCCTGCTGACGTGAAAGGTGCTATATAAATGTAAATTATATTGTAGAAACACCCAAGAAACTTCTGACAGGTTCTGAGGAGTAGTTTTATAGACTGGTCCAACAGACTTATCCCCCATTCCTGTGGCAAATAACTTAGTGGCTCATACTGCATGTATCTCTGACAATAGGCCAGTTCTGACATTCCTGCTGACCAGTTCTCAACAGCTGTACAAGCTATAATCTGTGCACTATGCGGAAACATAGTCACGGAAAACAATTGCCTGGAATGTGGTCAGCTGGAGCCCACAGGGGTACAACTCAAGCTCCCACATGATCACTTTCTCACAAGCACAGCACAAGACTTGAACTGAGGCCGTGTTTGTGTTGTGTGTGTGTTTTTTTTAAGGGCTGGTGCTAAAATTGTACAGATACATAGAGTGATATGACACCATTCAGCCAACTCGTTCGTCCCTGTCAGTGTTCACACTCTTTCAAAGAGCCAGCACGGATACGATAATATTATTAACAACAACAACAATAATAATAGCACCTTACCACGTGGTTGAGATGCCTCAAAGCGCTTCACAGAAAATATTTTAAAGTTAATTGACTTGTATTTTTTTCACACGAGACACCACCCTATTCCCCACTCCTATATTCTTCCTCAAGAATGCATCAAGTTCTCCTCTTAAATGTATTATTATTATTTATTTATTAATATATCTTAAATATATAAATGCTTTTTGCTTCAACCACAGTCTTCTGGCAGCACATTCACACCGCCCTCTGATTGAAACAGTTCCTTCTAAACTCTGGCAGATTCACCACTGACTATTTTAAACAAAAACAGAGATCGCTGGGAACGCTCAGCAGGTCAGGCAGCATCTGTAGAGAAGACTATCTTATATTTATATCCCTTTCCTTTTGGATTCAGCAACAAGTGGAAACAGCCCAACAACAGCTCATCTACCTTATTGAATACTTTCAGAAACTTGAACATCGCTATTAGGTCCCCTCTCAATCATCTACCAGTGAGCTGCCAGAGCATAAGCTGCAGCTCTCTCAACTACACCATCGAGAATGTCTAGATTTGGCATTTCAGGCATTGTTCGACAACAACAACAAATTACATTTGTAAACACCTTTCACATCAGGAGGACATCGCTAGCATTCGACAGTCAGGGATTTGGACCCGAGCAGGGAGTTGGAATGGGGTGGGGGGCGGAGGGCAAAAAGAGTAGGGCAAAGATGACCGAAAGCGCTGGCAAAGAGGTAGGTGTCAAGACAGACTTTGAAGGAGGTGAGTGAGGAAGCGGGTCAGAGGGACTCTGAGATGGAGTTCTAGAGAGTAAGGGCAGAATGGCTGAAAAGCCACCCAACGGTGGGGTGGATAAGGTGGGGAAATATGAAGCAGGGCAAAAGGATCGGCTGGGACAGTGGTGTTGGAGGATCCTGGAGAGATATGGTGGGGCAAGACTATGGAGGGATTTAAAGTTGAGGATGAGGATCTTGAACTCGACCCACTGGGGGATGGAGATGGGGATGTGTTAATAAAGGTTAGCTCTTTCAAAGAGCCATTATAGGCACAGTCACAGGGTAATATGAACTTCCTTGTGTGCTGTAAAAGTGCTATCAACCTGTCCGCTCCCATCTCTCAGCAGCCTGCTTCATGTCCCCTGTCCAGCCTGCCCCACCATCGGCGGTCGGGCCTTTAACCTCTCCACGCCCCTCCCTCTGGAACTCCATCTACATTCCTTTTGCGTCACTTCCTCCCTTGCCTCCTTCAAGGAGCATCTCAAGACCCTCCTCTATGACCGCACCTTCGACCACACGCCTACCCTCCCAGCCCTCAACCCTGCTTGATCACACCCTCGCCTGCTCGGGTCCAAATCCCTGACTGTCCAGCGCCTTGGGACGTCCTCCCAAAATGAAAGGCGCTACACAAATGAAATTTTGTAGTATGATTCTGCAGTAAGCTAAAGGAGGGAATACACCTACCAGATCAATATGTTGACGATCACGCCCAGAAGCAATGCCATCATGGACGATATCAGTCGGGGAGAATTGTTCGTGCTTCGTTCAATCTTTTCATTTTCGCTCGCTTTGGTGACAGCCGCTGAAAGGAACACAGGAAGGAAATAAAGACAAGTCAAAATGGCTGGCATGCCCTTTCATCAAAGCTGTCCGTTCTCTAGCAAAATGTCTGTCTCTCTACCGCAATGTTTCACTTTTGTTTTAGGGTTAGGGAGGCTACAACCAGCTCGGAATACTGCTCCTGGTGCCTCTTCAGCTTATAGTTGTGAAATATAAATAATAATAATAATAATCCTTATATTTGTTATAGCGTCTTTCATTCTCAAAGTAGTTCACAGGATACACTGTAAAGTGTAGTGACTGTGTATTTTATAGGCAATTTGAAGATCAGGAAAAGAATCTTGAAGCTGATGGACTGAGAGCCTGGTAATGGTAATAGAAAAGGGTGTGCAGAGCCTGTTGTAGGAGAGGATATAGAGTTCTGGGTTGGTTGTAGCTGATGTAGAATTTACGGACACGTTTTTAGCCACTTTGCCCCATCTCTCTGGAACAGACGCCCCAAACCCGCTCTCGCACCCTCTCTCACCTCCTTCAAACAGCTGCTTCTGAGCTGTATCTTCTGGGAATCAAAGAACCTATCACTATACCTGATGTAATACTGCTTGTTGTTTCTTTGGTTTCTGTTTCTGGATCCACCGGCATTTGTGTCCACGGTGTGGCACGTACAGCCTTGCTCCATTCACTCCAGGTGCCGGCTTCATTGTCCTTGGCAGCCACTTGTATGATGTGTTCCTTCCCTGCGTAGGCATCGGTGATGGTGTGAAATGTTACGTCCGTCACTTCAACCTAGACAGAGTAGAAAAAGCCATCAGGTCTCTGTTGTAGAACGAAAGGGTCAAGGATGAGAACAGGACACTTGACCAGTTAAACAAAGCACATCCCGCGAGCACATTGACTCTCATGTGAAACCATAGAGCTTTACAGTACAGGGCAGAATAAGGAAAAAATCAGCATTTTGCCCATAAAATACACAACAACAACTTGCACTTATATAGCGCTACCCACGCAGGGTAGCATCTCAGAATGCTTAACACAATCAATTCGGTATAGCGCCTTATCAATTCTTTGAGGCGTCGCAAAGCACTTCACAGAATATACTGTAAAGTGTAGTGACTGTGTACTTTAAAGTGTAGTGACTGTGTACTTTGGTGATAGTCAATGTACATACAGCAATATCCCACACATAGCCATGAAGTGAATGGCCAACTGAAAAAACTTACTTCTCTTTTCAAATAGTACCACCTAAATAGGCAGGTGGGACGTCGATTCAATATTTCATCCAAGTGGACAGTACCTCCAATAATGCAGTACTCTCTCATTAGAATGTTAACAACAACTTGCATTTATATAGCACCACCCCCCCCACCTACGATAGCATCCCAGAGGGATTAACAGAGCAGAGCACGACGCCAAACAGGGAGGGTTGGGGGGAATGGTGACCGTAGGCACGGTCAAATAGGAAGGTGGGGAAGGAAGGGACAAGGCGGGGGGTGGGGGATAGAGGAAGAGTGTTCCAGAGTTTTGGGGAGTAGTGGCTGAAAGTGCGGCTGCTGACTGTGGAATGGAGGGCACGAGGGACAAGCTGGAGGCCAGAGTCAGTTGAGCAGAGGCAGCGGGTAGTGGGTTGTGGGGTAAGCAGGTCGGAGAAGTAGGGAGAGCATGAAGGGATTTGAAAACAAGTGTGAGGATCTTGAAATTGATCCGTTCAATGATAGGGAGCCAGTGAAGCCTGGCTAGAACTGGTGTGATGGGGTAAGGAGGTTAGTACGAGTGAGTATGCGGGCAGCAAAATTCTGGATCATCTGGATCCTGTGGAGCTGGGGAGATCGGCAAAGAAGGCATGCCTAGACTAGACTATGTGAGGCAAATGTCAGTCTAGACTGTGTGAATTCAAGGTCCCAACTTGCAGCTTGAACAAATCACCTTCTGACTAAGAAGTGGGAGTGCTACCCACTGAGCTGGAAACCAACTGAGCCAGACTGACACAAAAGACTGCAACATTTTTTTCTTTCTCCAATATATTTTTGTACTAACTTCTATTCCCCATTGCCTGCTACAATCCTTGTCTTGCCATAGAACTATGGAACTCTATGACACATTAGGAGGCTTTTCACCTCATTGCACAGTGGAGTCCTGTAAACGTAGTGGTTTGAGCACTCGATTCGCAAGCGAGAGGACCCATGTTCGATTCCCAGGCAGGGCAAAACGTTAGGCGAGTTTCTTTATTCCACACGCCACTGATTACTAGCAGTGAATAGGATCCCAGTAGTTACTCGATTGGTGGATCGCTTTCTGGGGATAAAAATCCCTTAGAAAAAATGCGGTCACTCAATCCACGACTGTTTGTGGGACACTGCTGGGCACATTTGACTACTGCGTTTCGCCCACAAAATAGAGTCAGTTTACTTTACAGTACAGTACAATCTGTGAAGTGCTTTAAGATGTCTCAACGACATGATAAGGCACCATATCAAATGCAAGGATTATTATTATATTAGTGTCAGAGTTTGCATGATCTCATGTTTGTCACTGGAGGAGTTAAAAGAAGCAGGTTGGAAGAACTATTTTTATCGAGCGAGTGAGTTATGAGAATAGTAATGTGTTGGCAGGATCGCAGACCATGGCAACATTGGATAAGTATTAAAGAGAAACAGTCTAAAGAAATGTGTGGAAAAGGATGCGGAATTGGGATTAGAGTGAGTTAATCCCAGTGCAAGAGCTGGCATAATAATAATAATCCTTGCATTTGATATAATGCCTTATTATGTTTGAACGGCCTCCTTCTGTTCTGTGAGACCCACTATCCGATGCTACGGTCTTTGCAGGGTTACTGTGCGCTGTACTTCTGGAAGGAAATCAGTCAGACAGAGCTAATTATGTGGTTTAGTGGGATGGGAAGCAGCGCACTCTTTAAATCTCTCTCATACTTAAACCGCGAAGGGACACAAAAAGCTTTCAGGAAGGCCAGCCTCGCTTTGCCGATGCATCTGGTCACCAGGAACCGGCTCTCAGGCCCATCTGGGAGTTAGATAAGATGGGTCCTAGGGGGAATCAGCTCTGACAATCTCTTCATCAGCCGGCCTACACTGGGCTGTCTTCTACATCAGCATATGCTTGTGGTTTGCATGTATGATAAGCATTAGCATTTTGCACTGCGGTATTGTGATGCACTTGGAAAAATATCAGGGACTTTTCTATTTCAAAAGAAAGAAAAAAACCTTTTCGCCCATTATTTACGTGTTGGGCTGCTCAAAGTGCAGTGTTGCAGAATCTCCTGGGCTCCATATTCTGCAGCGAAAACCACAGATGCGATACAATGGACAAGCACAGGAACCAGGAAGTATTTCTTTACATGGAGTGGATTGAGTGACCAAATTTGTTTTTTGGAGGGATCATTACCCTTGCATTGGATATAGCACCTTCCAGGCCAGGAGGGCATTTCATGCTTAAAGTGCAGTGACGGTATTTTGTGGGGAACGTGGCAGGCAGTTTGCACACAGCAACGCCTCACAAAGAGTAAATGAAGTGAATTACCGAACTTATGGCGGGGGATTGTCAGCCAGGTCACTGGGAGGAACTCCCTTCTCTTTTTGAGTAGTGCCATGGGAACTTTAACGTCTTACTGAACAACTGCCAATCTGTGCCCTGTTCCTTGGGGGAATATTTCCAGGGAGGAGAGCGCACACTACATTCCAGACAATGGGAAATCTCCATTCAGGGATGTAGCATCTGTAGAATCTTCAAAAACAACACCTTGCATTTATATAGCGCTCCTCACTTCAGTCTGATTTCGATACCCAGTCGTAGTTGCTTGGCATTTAAGAGATTAATAATAATCCTTGCATTTGATATAGTGTTTTCCACATCCTCTAGACATCTCAAAATGCTTCACAGAATATACTGTAAAGTGAATTGACTGTATATTTCTGGGCGAAACACGGTAGACAATTGCGCACAGCAGTGTCCCACAATCAGTCGTGGATTAAAAATGACCAATTTGTTATTGTTTTGTTTTGGAGGAATTATTATTAGGCGTGTGGAGTAAGGAAACTTGCCCAAGGTTTCGCCCTGCCTGGAATTGAACCCAGGTGTCTCGCTTCCAAGGCGAGTGCTATAACCACTAAGCTACAGGACTCCGATTACCTCTTAAACCTACCCAACTCCACCTTCCTCCCCCTGGATAATTGGTTTATTCCAATCTAATACAAAGCCACTGATCTCTGGGCTATATCAAGTTTCTGAAATTACCAACAAAATCAATAATACCAGCCGTGAATCTGACTCAACTACACATTTCTCTTCACTTTCAAATCCCTCCACAGCCTCGTCCCACCTTATCTCTGTGACTTGATGCTCTCTTTGCTCAGTGAACGCCAGCCTGCTTCACGACACACCATCGGTGGTCGAGCTTCCAGAGATATTATCCCCGATCTTTGAAACTTCAAAAGGGAACTCCTGCCCGCTCTTTCCCTGGCTTCAAAACTGCCTTCAGATCTATCTCTTTGTCATTTTAGTCACTTTTCCTTCCCCCAAACTCCCCCACCTATCCCCAGCTTGGGTTCCCAGTCAGCTGTGTGAACGTCTTGAATCAACAACAGCAGTAACAACTTCCATTTATATGGCATCCTCCACACAAGGTAGGGACGCCTTGGGACGTCCTTCCAACGTGAAAGGCGCTCTATAAATGGAATCTTGTTGTTGTTGTAGTGTGATGGTGTGTTGCAAGTCTATGACTCAGAAGTCAGGCTGTCCCATAAGACTATGTGCGACCATTCTTTTATCTGGGTTGAATTCTTGGCAGGGCGAAACCTTGGGCAAGTCTCCTTACTCCACACAGAGCCTAATAATAATCCCTCCAAAACAAAACAATAATAAATTGGTCATTTTCAATCCACGACTGTTTGTGGGACATTCCTGTGTACAATTGGCTGCCACGTTTCGCCCACAAATATACGGTCAATTCACTTTACAGCATACTCTGTGAAGCGCTTTGAGACGTCTAGAAGATGTGAAAAGCGCTATATCGAAATCAAGGATTATTATTATTATATCTGGCAGTGTCCTGGAAATAACACTGACAATCACATGGGATTTCCTGTTTACTTCCTGCGGAGAGGAAAAGTAGTTCGGAAAGTGGATTGGGGAGGTGCCGAGAGGGGTGGGAGGGGATAGGGTTGAGAGGTTGAGAGGAAAAGGAGAGCAAAAAGCTTATAAAGGGAGAAACGGGATTCATTTACAAATTCTTGGTGGATTACATAAGGTGATGAACTCAGGCTGATAACATCTCTTCAGTTAAGCAGAAACAAGTGGGCTTAGGTAATCGCTTTGGCAGGCAAAGCAGTGTTTTCAGAGCTAAAATTGCTTTTATTTGCTTTGAGCTCTCTCCAGCAGGATCGTGCCTGGTGCAGTGTGTCCAGAGCAGTTAATGCTGTTTCATTTCAATTAAGCGTTGAGGACAACAGATGTGGAGTTTGGGGGCTGGGGAGGGTTTGGTCGAGGCAGCTGCAAAGTGAATGAGAGAGAGAGAGAGAGAGAGAAAGGGAGAGAGGGATTTACAGAAATCTCTGCCAAACACAACACTCTTTACTTGGGTTAATCGCACACAGTTAAAAAGAAAGGACATTTGCCATTTTCACGCCTTACGCCAAAAAATTATAAATCCAGAGCAGTTTGGGTGTTGATTTGAATGGATTCATTTCACTGGCAAAGCGCAGGATTGCCAAGCTCATGTCTGCACTAAACAGGCAATGAGATTCCTGGATAGCGTCTCAGAGATCCTAATGGGG